TTCGTCTTCCTCCTTGTCGATGGATTTAATCACGGTAAAAGCAGGTTATTATACATCATTCATTATTCACTTGTATTTTGCTGTATGTTTTGCTTTTATTTTCATCGAGTTTTTTTTCGGGGTCGGGCAGGTCTATGCATATTTTATGATGACACAAAAAAAAAAAACGCCGAAGGAAACAAGAAAGGATGAAACGTTGTGACTGGTTGCGCCTTTGTGTGTGCATCGACTGCCAACGGTTCAGGTGATGATACCTGTTTGTGTTCTATGTTGGATTGAATTATAATGCATTCAGCATCGCGATAATCACGGTTGGATGCGATGCGAACAAGGGGTCAGTCCCTACACTTCCTGGGTGTATTTGTGACGTTGAGTAATGGGTAAGTGATAGCAGTGATAGGTGAGATCGTATGTGTCTGGGACTAACTTTCATATCAAGGTTTTCGGATACGTGGAATGAAAATTTCCTAGCGCAAGCGAATTTGGAAAGACAAAGGACCATCCTGCCAGATTATGATCCGGGGAAGATCAGTTCTACCGAAGCCAGCAGGAAAATGGGCGGAAAATCTATCGATGTCATAAAACACCGAACGTGAAGACCGGCTCCTCATCGCCTTCTTCTGGTTCTATCAAAGAGTACGGAGCAGTTCACCGACTCAAAAAAGCGTGCAAGCAATTTAGGTGGGAGGGTTAATTTAAAATATGCAAATTAAGACAGAGTGTAATAAAAGTGGAGGAAAACTTTTTTTTTTTTTTTGGGAGAATCGACATTTTTGACGAATCTGGGGAAAGACGGCCGCAGCAAGCAGCTATCTTTGGAGGCTTGTTTTACAACGTGGATCAAATTTTATTGCACTGATTACGGCGATGCGGCGGTGATTCTTTCAAAAGTGCGTAGACTGGATGGAGGTGGAGATCGAATCATCTGCCACCAAATTGATGTTGGCAACTAATTGAGGGGTGGTATCCGGAGGGTGGGACACAGAAGAGGAATGACAGTGCAAACGTGATTGATAAGACCGGACGATTAGGAGTTGTGTAATTGAGAATTTTGGGTTTTGCGGCTCGAGAGGGAGGAAGATGGATTGCGATAAGAATTTAAATCAAATTTTCTTTGCGTTGAAAAAAAAAAATGAACCAGGAATCAGCACAAGTAGCTATCCATTACAATGGAAAGTGCCTCAAATTACGTCTTTTTTTCCCGGCGGGCTTTAAATCCTAATAAATGGCTCTTTAATTTCCAGTGGTCCTCGCTTAGAAGGAGGGAGCGCTTCAAAAGATATTGAATGATTGCACAACCGACAAAATCCGAAAACCGACGAAAATTCTGATGGTATCATAAACAGGCAGCCAGCAGCAATCGACCGCATTACCTATAAGTAGCATGTGTGTAAATGCTCGGCTCTTGAATGCTTTATTTTCTCTTTGCTCGTTTTATGGCTCGTAGAGCATAAAAAAAAAGAATGGGCTCCGAAATCAAAACTGGCAAAGAACCCAAAGCATCCCATACAAACTAAATGCGAGTAAAATCCGATACAATTATTTAATCCGATTATGCGTATACATGTGTAACCATAGGGACCGTCCAGTGCCGAGGAAAGAGGAAAAATAATACGAAGAGAATCGTTCGCTTTTAAATAACACACCAACTGAATGAGCCATTGAGTCGAGCAGAGAATGAAAATGGGATCAAAAGGAGGGTTCAGAGCAGAGCAGCAGCAGGTCATCCCTCTCGAGTCGAGACAGTTAAAGATCACTTTGGCTACAACTTTGTTTTCTTTGGAGAATCGAATCCCGTCGTCGTCGTCGTCGAAGTCCCGGCTACGACCAAACACACATGTTGTTTTGGGATGCGTTTTGTTAGGAGAATCGGGTGCACTGGAAGCAGAGCTTCTTTTGTTACGTCGTCGAACGTATCTTTGCACTGCCGTTGGCAGCCGAAACAGTCCCTCGAACAAAGGATTCACTGGTCGCTTTTCGCCCGGTATTCTGCTGGGTCCGGGTGTGTTGGCTTCCCTGTGTCAGGATTTAGGTAATTGAATTTTGCTTCCAGTACGAGCGTGGGCATGGGCGTGCACAGGTTTGCAGTGCGATATTGTGACACTGACAAAAGGAACTGGAACCATGAAGATAAATAAGTAACAAACAGAACAACAGATAGATATTCATTGAGCCTCATAAACATTAAGACGGGAAGAGAGTGAGACAAGATAGAAAAAAAGACCACATCAGTGCACATGGTATAAATTAGAATAGAAAACAGGAATTCCGTCACACATGATAAGAAATACAAAAAATATAACTATTGAGGCAAACCTTAAACCAAAAAAAAACTACAAGGGACAGCCCTATGGGGGCAATGGTGACGTAGGACTACGTGGTATTATATAGTAAATCTTATTTGTTAACTGGAGCAGGAGCTTGCGTTTTGAATAGGAATTTGAGCGGGGTTCTCTCTGTTCATACTCTTCAGTATCGCTTGACAAGGATGGCCCACAGCGACTCACGAAGAGCTACTGATTCCGATCAATAGCTCTGCGGCTTCTTCCTCCTTCTATGGATGGTCATGTGGGCTGCAGCTCGTTGCTTGCAGGCAGCCGTTCGATGTGTACTGGAGAACACCATCACTCACCACGCGGTGATTGAATAAATGTGTGACCGGATGGAATTCAACTTTGAAATCTGTGTTAGGGAAATCGCTTTTAGCATTTAATCGGTGATAATGGATTTATCATAGCAACAGTTGCACATTCGTGCAATTTTTAACAGTAACATTTTGAAAAAATGATTAGGTCTTAATTTTTACAGATTTGTAGAAAAAAATCCTATCGATTGGCGTATTAAGAATTAAAATCCATCATCTCTGGATCAAAATCAGACCAATTTCATGCCGCGACCGACTTTGTTGCCTTAAAATTCATGGTATGTTAAATTTAAACATGTCTAGATAGAGCTGGAGTTAGGCGTAACAGCATTTGTAAATAATGACTTCTCTCGATGATTTTTAGGAATTCAAGGCACACCCACGCAAACCAACATTACCATCGGGAATGGAAGGAGGAAGTCTTACCCTACCTGATGGTGATGTTGATTTGCGTTGGCGTGTGTTGACTTTCAAGACATTATCGAAAGAAGTCATTGTTTACAAAAGCTGTTATGCCCTAATTCCAGCTCTATCTTTATATGGGAACTGACATCCGATTGATGACTTTGACAAATCAATACCAACAATTGAAATGGCCGCAACTCCATTTTGTAAACAAACCTTGTAAGGCCATTTTCTCGCAAACCGAAGTCCACAAAGGCAAACCTAACATAATGAATACCCGATTGAGGTTTAGGTTTGCGAATGAAGGTTTCGGTTCGCGAGAAAATGGCCTTGCCAGGTTTGTTTACAAAATTGAGTTAAGGCCATTTCAATTGTTGGTCTTGAAATGTCCAAATAATACTCTTTTTCAAATTTATGGTATACCTGAAAAGGACCGTTTTGTCGTGATGGTGAGGCTGGTGAGCTGTATGTTGTTTGGAATGATGGTGACGCACTTGGCATAGATGGCCCCCAGCAATTCACGAAGAGCTACTGATTCCGATCAATTTCTCCTTCTATGGATGCTCATGTGGGCTGCAGCTCGCTGCTTGCAGGCAGCCTTTCGTTGTGCAATGGAGAACAATATTCAACGCCACGCACCGAAAGCACTGTTGCTGCTGCTGCTGCCGCTACTGATGCCGACGACCAGACACCCCACACACGGTGATTGGAACTGAATCCGATCAGCGGTTGAGGTCAGCCTTGATAACTCGCCGCTTGCGATGAGACTTTCGTTGTGTACTGGAGAACACCACCACTCACCACGCGGTGATTGAATAAACACTGTTTGGTGTGACCAGATGGAATCCAACTTTGAAATCTGTGTTAGGGAAATCGCTTTTCGCAAGCCATTGGTGATAAGTTAAATTATCATAGCAACAGTTCAGTTGCACATTCGTAAAATTTTCAATATTTACAGTTTGAAAAATGATTAAGTCTTAAATTAAGGAGATGCGTAGACATATTTCTGATCAATTGGTGATAAACATATTGGGGCAGCTGAGTTACTAACGTTCGAAATCTTTCATAATTTTGTTACAAATGCAAAATTCACATCCCTTGGGCAGGAAATCAATTTGGCAAGCCATTTGGGACCAGCAAACACCTTCCGTTCGAATGAAACAGATCCAAATCTGTCCAAATCCTAGCTGAGACCGTCCATTGAAAATACTGTTGTACTTTGAGGATGAACGTTGAACATACGTTTTGAAGCAAACCAGCTACCTCCGTTGAACGACATCCTCAAATAGAGTACGGAAACACATGCCGTGAAGACGTGGACTACTTCGTCAACTACTTCGTCAACTACTTCGTCAATTACTTCGTCAACTACTTCGTTAACTACTTCGTCAACTACTTCGTCAACTACTTCGTCAACTTTTTCGTCAACTACTTCGTCAACTACTTCGTCAACTACTTCGTCAACTACTTCGTCAACTACTTCGTCAACTACTTCGTCAACTATTTCGTCAACTACTTCGTCAACTACTTCGTCAACTACTTCGTCAAATACTTCGTTGACTACTTCGTCAACTACTTCGTCAAGTACTTCGTCAACTACTTCAACAACTACTTCGTCAACTACTTCGTGTCAGTGCCTTCGACATCAGCAAGAGCGAACCAGGCGTCAAGTCAACCTGTCATCATTCACACCCAGTCTTACCGTACTCCTCTACCAACCTTCGACGGTCGTTATGAAGCATGGCCACGCTTCAAGACCACGATGCAGGACATGATGCAGCGATCAAACGATTTCGACGCTGTAAAGCTGTGGAAAATTCGCTGAAAGCAGATGCTGCAGGTGTGATCGACTTGGAGACACTGCAAAACAATAATTATGCACGAGCATGGGAAATCCTGGAAGAACGTTTTAGAAACCAGCGATTGATCATCGAGGCTTGGCCTCCTGAATATGCAAAAGGTTCTCAAGAAATCATCGAATGATCTGCGCAACCTGGTAGATAAATGCACCCGTCACGTCGACAATCTCGTTAAGCTCAATCAGCGTTTAACCGGAAAGTCTCAGTTATTTGTGGTGACACTACTGACACGTGCCTTTGACGACCAGACTTGTGAACTCTGGGAAGCTTCCATCAACCAGTCCGAGCTTCCTGAGTATGAGCAGATGATCGCATTCCTGAGGCAGCGATGCGTGATTCTGGAACGATGTAAAACCACTATTCCTACCGCAGCATCTAAGGATCCGATCGCCAAAACTCCTCCATCGAAAGGTGGACCTTCTAATTCATCGCATACTGCAACAGCGACATTGGAATATGCGTGCGATTTTTGTTCCGGCCAGCACCAGAATTTCAAATGCTCGACTTTCCAAAAGATGACCGTAGACCAGCGTCAAGACAAGCTGAAAGCGACGTATCTGTGCTTCAATTTCCAGAGGAAGGGCCACCGTAGTGCATCGTGTCCAAGCAATAAATCCTGCGGAAAGTGTTCCAAAAAGCACCACACTCTAGTTCATTTCGAGCAACGGGAGAAACCCGAAATAAGAACGAGTGAGCCGCCCAAACCAGCCGAAGTAGATCCAGTACCAGTAGTGGCGGAGCAGCCTGTGAATGCGTCCTGTTCCAGCATGCCTGTTCCTCATGACAGCGATGGTCATTCTGCGTTCTAAAGCTGGGTTTAGACAGGCAAGTCAATTGATCAAGTGAGTTGAATTCAACTGACTTGAACGCGAATTGAACATGCCATTCAACTGACTTGATCAAATCACTTGAATTGAAAAAAGTTGAACTAGGCTCAACTTTTCAAGCCAATTGAATTCAACTGAGTTGCTCATTTGACTTGTCTAGTCTAAACCCAGCTTAAAAGAGGCCACACTCACCAGGTTTGAGCACTGCTGGATTCTGGATCACAGATCAATTTGTTGTCGGAGTCTGTGGTGACGAAATTAAACCTGCCGAAATTCCCAGCTAATGTTCCTGTAGTCGGCGTAGGAGGTACACGTTCCCAGATACGCCATCGAACGGTGGTGAGAATGACATCCAAATATAGCAACTTCACTGCCAATGTTGATTGTCTCGTCACACCGCAGGTGACTGGCACCATTCCGTCCGCAAATGTTAGAGTGGATTCCTGGCATATTCCATCTGGTGTATTGTTTGCCGATGCTTCATTTAACCGTCTACGAGAAGTGGAAATGCTGATTGATGCCGAACATTTCTTCAACATTCTGAAGCAAGGCCAAATCAAACTTGCCGACCACCTGCCTACCTTGTACGGAACGCAGTTCGGATGGGTCGTGGCTGGCTCGTACGAGGAAACGCAAGAAGATTCTTCAGTATGTGTCAACCTTGCTGTGACCGATGGATTGGAAGCATGCTTGCAGCGGTTTTTCGACCAAGAGGAAGTCGGTGAACCAGCAATGATGACGAGTGAAGAAGAACGTTTTGAAGAACACTTTCAACGGACTTATCGTCGTAATGAAGATGGACGATTCGTTGTCCAGCTGCCATTCCGTGAATCAGTGGACCAGTTGAAAAGTTCCAGATCCCTGGCGCTGAAACGATTCCTGCCTACCCTGCCCTGGAATTGGTACCCGGTGGTGAACCTTGTGCTTTACGGAACTCCAAGTCCACCGTTCCGCCTATATCGTCGTTGTGTTCACGGCCGAATACAAAACACGGACAGTTCAGCATCGTCTCGCTACTGCTGCGATTCAGCCAACTCCAGGTTCCTGGTTTATCGTACGCTGTTGCTATCTCAGGTGAGCCTGTCGACGATTCTCCGTTCACCCGGAGGACTTGTGACGCTCGTGACCGAGGTCATCATCATTATACGCACCTGCAAGACTCGATCTGAACAGCTACATGCTGCCCTGTCCCTTGTCACTAAGTATGGACCGTAAAGCCATCAAGATCGTTAATTGGAATGCATGCTCCTTGAAGAGCAAAAACATCGAGTTTATTGACTTTCTCATCACCGAGACTCACTTGAAACCCGAGCTGAACGTCTTTCTTCCCGATTTTCAGCTCATAAGGCTGAACCGCACCAGCTCCGGAGGGGGGGGGGGGAGTGGCCATCGCAGCTAGACGGAACATCAGCTGCCGGCTACTACCAAACTTTCAGCGGAAAACTATTGAAGCTATCGGAGTTGATGTGCATCGCTTGGTCCAATCACCATCATCGCGGTGTACTGCACCAAGCAAACCAAAATTAGGGACGGCTTGGCCGCCGACCTCCGTATCAAGGTAACACGACGGCGGAAAAATTTCATCATCGCTGGCAACCTGAACGCCAAGCATCAAGCCTGGGACAATACTCGGTGAAACCAGAACGGCACAATCTTGTACAACGATCTGCAGGAAGCCCACTACAACATCCTGTGTCCGGACACTCCCACCCATCGACATCTTCATCAGCAACATTGGCGATAACATCTCTCAACCTGTCGCCTATCAGGAACTGAGCTCGGTGGTGACCGAAGTAGGTTCCTCGGCCAATAGGTTTCAAGTTTCCCGGCAAAATTTCCATCGTGTCAACTGGCAGCAGTACCAGCGCTGTGTGGACACAGCAATCGACTATGACATCGAAGAAATCGATCGGTGTCTGCAAACCATCCCGTGCCAGGGAGCAACTGACCTTCAAAAACAAGCTTGCTGTCCACAAGCAGATCATTCTACTGGCTATTGAGTATGGTATGCATGGTATGGTATGGGTTAGCACATGTAAATGTGAAACCAAATGTTGAAACTTAAAAAACCAGCAAATAAACGTAAATTTTACTACGTATGAACGGGAGTGTGGTTCTAGATTCATCTGGAGTTCAACCGGCTCAGGTGACCAGTGGGCAACGATAAGAATCATCGAGAAGGTGGACAATACAAACAAAAACTTATAAAGATATACAAAAGACAAACGAAGTAAATTCTTATGCTAGACATTTGCAGAAACATATAAATCGACTGCATATCACGGGTACCCAACACGTCTGTGATAGGGATATAGGGTTGTCTTCCTTGGGCCCCGAGGATACTCAGAAGGGAGGCCCCAGAAGAAAAATTATAAATTTTCAATTGTGTTGGCCTAATCAGTACTGTTCTGAACGTCATTGTTACTGAAAAATGGAATAAATGAGAAATTTCGCTTTTCGCCTAGAGTGACCCAAATCAACTTAATTTGAATAACGTGGTATGTAATTTTACAAAAATCAAGTTTTTGTTTAACCTTTTTTATATTGATTTATTTGATAAGGCTTAATCCAATCAACTTTAAAGAGCCGAGGATTCTTGTTCACTATACACCACATCGTAAAACTAGAGTCAAAAAGTAAAACACTATAAACACTTTATCTTCCGTAATCCAATAAGCCTCCTCCATCAGAATAGGATCCGCTTCCAGTGGATTATTGTATGTTTGTATTACCAACGGGCAGGGCGCTCCCATTGCAGCAATGGACGCAAAACGTGTTCGGAACTCACACACTCATCACGAAACGGTTGCTTTCCAAAGACGCATCGACCGAAAGAACTGCTGATGAAGAACAATGCGGAGGACCACACAATAGACGAGTGCACGGATGGATTTGAGTTCACTCACTCGACAAAAAGTGACACAACAGCGGAGTCCTGTTTATTAAAAATGAACACATGAATAATACTCGCATGTTAGTTGGGTTACCTTGTGATAATTGTTAGTTGGGACGTTCTCTAATGCCATTATCTTGATGGTAAAACTACGGTCTGGTTTTATCAAACCACCTTCGGAAACTTGATCCACCCAAGTAAAAACGGATTCATCTGGTGGTGAAATTTTAAGTTTGAGCTTTTTGATAACATATCCTGCAATATATTCAATAGCATCCTCTTCAAACTCTGATAAGTGTGATGAAACATTTTCTTGTTCCAAATCAGCACTGATTTGGTCGTCCAGCGGTCCTTCGCATCCATTCTCTTTTACTTCATGACTCGCAATATTTCGTAGCAAACAACCAGTAAATTGCTGCTGATCGTACTCTTCATTTGATTCCTCTACGTTACTGCTGTTGACTTGTTGAGTTGCATCAGAACGACCTAATAAAAATTATTTTTTTTTTTTAATTTTCACGCAAATAATTTTTTACATTTATTAATCTAAAATCGTCTGTCTAAACTTACTAAGGATGTTACTTCAAGTGAGAAGATATATCACTACGAAAAGTATAAAAGAGTTTTACCTAAAATGCTGTTTCGCAACCAGTAGGTGAATTCCAAGGCAGTTGGATGATTATGTAATCCTCCTTTTGAGCGAGTTCCCGAAGAAACGCACGAGATCATCTTGTTGTATTCGTCTTGTTAAGATATAGGGATTACCGTAAGTGGTTTGGAGCCATTCTGACAAACCAACCAGTGCTGCATTGTTCACGAGAATACCCTTCTGGCATGGTAGAAGAGCACGTTTATTTGGAACTCGTAGATGCGAAATCAGTTCATTTGAATCACTTATGATTTTTCGATGAACATGGTTTGTATGATCGAATGCTTTAAGCCTTTCTCTCATACCCCTCGTCGCCGACGATGAATTGAACAAATCAAACCAATCATTCATTATTTTTATGAAATCACTGGTTACTAAAGCATCTTGAGATGTTATCTCGCATAAATTGCCTGTGAGACGGAGTTTGATAATAGCTCTACCGCGTATTTTACCTTTTGACGGGCAGCATCTTTGACATCAAAATGAATTAGCATGATCTTATGGCACATCTTTAGTTCATTTGGCTAGAGGTTCAACAACTCGACTACTGGCTTCAGTGTTATTCTGATCTTCATTGTCCAACATGTAACCAGTATCGATAAAATGATTACGAATAAGTTTCATGAGATGTGGAGGGTCTGCGAAAGTAAAAACTTTCAGGTTCTCTAAGGAGTTATAGGTTTTCTCGCAGCTGATGCCAAGCTCTCGCGATAGACCCATGTTGATAGGACCCATGTCCAAAAAACTTCAACAATGGGAAATTTAATATTTTTGAGTGTTTTGATTATATCCGTTACAATAGTTGCTGCCATAGCTGAGTCAAAATTGTAGTACATTACTTGTTTCCAATTTTTGTACACTCCACGAATCATTCCTACTTGGGCGTACTTCGATGGTTTTAATACTTTGTCGCAACTCCGGTGGTGATGTGATGTGATGCGAATAGAACCCACCATCAGTGCAAGGATTACCTATGACTGCAAATACTTCACGGGTTGTAAAGTTCTGCCTGATGGTTTGTTGCAGCAGGGTGAATCAACTTCATTGAAGACCTTTGGAAGACAAACGACGTACATCTTGTCTATCAACACCTAACAAGGGACTGGCAAATCCACGAACCCTTGTCCAGTCTACAAATCCATTGAAACCCTTAGGCTGCCCCCCCAAACCCAGCATATAATAATGTTTGATTAATGAAATGTATTAAAAAAAAGGTTATTTAGATAGAACAATCTTCAACTGGAACGAACTCACCAAATCAATATATCCGGGAGCGCATTCCCGATGCTTAATTTTCTCTAGTCATTATAAACAATTCCTCCTTCAGCGAATCCAACCACACAATAACTAATATCAAACGGCGCCGGTGGTGTAGTGGTAAGCGTGATTGCCTCTCACCCCAGCAGGCCTGGGTTCAATCCCAGTCGGCACCGCCGGGAT